GCCAGCAGGGCCGCCTGCTGGTCCGCCACGCCTACAGCTTCCACCAGAGCAGCGAGGAGGCCGGCGACTTCCTGGCGCACGCCGACCTGCAGCGGCGCAACTCAGAGTACCTGGTGGAGAACGCCCTGCACCTGCACCTCATCGTCAAGCCCGTATACCACACCCTTATCCGGACCCCCAAGTAGCCTCGGGGTCGGGGAGTAAAGGCCTGGCCTAGGTGCTCCTTGTGGGTCTGGGAAGGGCAAGGCGAGTGTGGAGGTGGCAACAAGCCTGGTACCCTGGATGGCCAGGTGCCGGCCACCCTAGGGCTGGGGTGGAGTCCAGGTGAGGCGTGGTAGACAAGATGCCTGGTTTCAAGAGCTGATTTCACAGCTGACTTGAAGGAACATTCTTGGTCCTGAATAAACCGATGCTCAGAGTGGTAAGGGGATGATTGAACCACTCAGTTTCCGGGTAAAAACAACCTGGGGAGGATCCCACAAGCCAGGGGGTTTACGGGTTTCACTCCCCTTGGTTGAGCTTTCCCCCCACCCAGACACAGAACTAGGCTAGGTAAAAGCACCCACGTGGTCACAGCAACCCACCTGCCTGGGAGACAGGAAGTACCCCATTCCCCTTGCAGGGGAGTCAGGGAGCACCCCATTCCCCTTGCAGGGGAGTCAGGGAACGCCCCATTCCCCTTGCAGGTGTTTCCTCACTTTGAGGCTGAGGGGCTTAGCTGGGCAGTTTCTGAGCCCTGACCTTGAGGCGCAACCGCCTCATCTGGGTTGTGAGACTTTCTGGCATCTGGGCCGCTCCAAGTCCCTGATCTCTCCTGGGAGGGTGCCTGGGCAGGTGTGAAGACCAGTGGGATAGGGACATAATGGATCTTGCCAGCCCTACCCTGGGGAGAGGCCTCAGGATCTACAACAAAACCCCTCTCCCGCAGGTATTTGTAGGTTGGTGTTATACAGTGAGCCAGGGGTAGATGGGGACCGGGGGGAGGGGGAGTTGGTGGAATCTTAGTCATGGCCACCCCACATTCCAGACAAGGTAAAATTTCCAACACAACCATCAAGACCCAAATGAGATTTTATTGTTAAAAAGGAAAGGGGAGAAAAGGCCACTGCCAAGTAACAAAACCAGATTCCCTCCCTCACCCACATCCCCAATTGTAATAAGTGAAGTGCCTGTCGGTGCCTCCCCAACCATCCAGGATGCCCGTGCCCCACACGTGGGCCAGGAGCCCCGTCTCACAGCCAGCTGCTTTCCTCCATTTCCAAGGCCAAGGCTGGCCTCATGGCTGTGCAGGGTTTTGGCAACAGCATTCTGTCCAGGGCTGGGAGGCCAGGGAGCCCAGCCATCCCGGCCATGTCCCCTGGCCTCACCTCTTTTCCCCGGTGGCACTGAAAGCATAGGAGGGTTGGGCAGACACCCCAGTTCCTGGGTCTCAGGAGCCCTGGCCTGCTGAGATCCTGAGCTCCTACTTCCTGGTCATCTCCATCTGCCCAGCCTCCACCTCCCATGCCCTGTTAGGCCCCATTCAGTCTTGGGGGGCGAGAGAGCCAGTTCCAGGCAGGGCCCCTCAGTTATGCCGGGAGCATCCATCTTTGCCATGGGTGCTTGTACTGTGGGGCAGGCGGGGCCCACGGGTAGCCCGTCGAGAACCACCAGCTGGGTTGGGGGGAACAGCCAGGGGTGAGGAGTCCCCGGGGCCTGCAACAGGGAAAGGGGCAGGATCAGTGGTTTCGGAATGCCTCCCCAACTCCTCTCCCATCACCCTGTGGCTTTGAACTCTCTATGGGCACAATGCCAAGATGCCAGTCTCATGAATATTCTGCTAGAACCATGCTTCCAGCAAGGGGCAGCCAGAGGCGCAGGAAATGCAATGTGTCTTCTCTGCTGCCCGGCCTGGGGGAGACCTCCCCTCTCCATCCCCTCCTTGCCCATACTGACCCGTGTTCTGGCTTGGAGGGAGTCTGACTTTGGCCAAAGGTAGTGTGACCTTTCCCAGATGCCGGATACCAGGGGCTGGGTGCCTGCACACTGGCATCCTGTGGTCTGAGATGCGCTCCGCCTGATGGGACCCCAGGAGGTGTGTCTTGGGGCGGGAGAGCTGTGATGGTTGAACAGTGGGGTAAGGATGAGAGCGGCACAGGGATCTGCTACCAGGATCTGTCCCAGCTACTATACCAGGCTGGGGACAGAGACTTTGTGGAGGGTGGTGTCTCCAGGTGTGGGGTAGGCTAGAGGTGCCCTGGAGCCTTTGGAGAAATCCAGCCCTCAGGCCCCCAGCTGCTATGGGAGTGCCTAGACACCCCACCCTGCGCCTTGCCTCACCCCTTGCCCGGCGACCTCGAAGGATCGGGACCTCCGCTTCCTTCTCTTTGCCTCCAGCGACTCCTCCCTTTTCTTGCCCAGGTTTTTCTTCTGGCCACGCAGCCAGGGCCCAGGACCGTCCCCATGATGCCCGACTGCCCGAGACGGGGCCTCGCCCGTGCTGCTGGACAGGTTGTCCTCACTGGCAGCATGCTGCAGCATGGGGCTGGGTGGCCGCTTGCAGGCCAGCAGGCCTGGTGACCGCGCATCGTCGCCCTCGCTCAGCGAGTGCAGGGACAGGCTGCTGCGCTCTGTCGCAGGTGCCAGCAGGTGTCGCCCCTCGGTGCCCAGGGCCTGCGAGCGCCGCCGGGCGGCCTTCACCGAGATGCACTTGGTGCCAGTCATGATCTCCTTCCTCTCTGCAGTGGGACACAGGGAACCCCCAACCCGAGATCAAGGCCACCTCTTAACAGCCTCCTCTGACATGGCAGAAGTAGGTAGGAGCCAGACTGCCTGGGTTTCAACCCCAGCACTTTCCAGGGGTTTGCTATGCAAGAAACTTGGGCCCATTTCTGAGCCTCACTTTCATCTGCAAATGGGGGATGGCAAAACTAATGCCATCGGGTTATTTCCAGGATTAATTGAGAAAATGGGCTCAACCTACATTTTCCAGGGGGTAGACATTGAATTGATATTTGCTATTAGAGTGATGACTGAGTGGAGGCGGCGGCGGGGGGTGGGGACACCATTCTCCATGCCACATGTCTCTTTTCTAATTTCCAGTTTTGCCCCGGTCTCTCTAAAAAAGAGACCTTTTTGCCTCAAGGTCTCTCCTTGATGTAGAGAGGACCCTTAAGTGTCCTTGACTGACTAATCCTCAGGGGCAATGGCGCCTCTTCAGAATGTGTAGGACCCAATGCATGGTTGCACTTGGCAGTGAAGAGGGCAGGAAAGGGCTTTGGACTGGGTGATCTGAACAGTTTAGACAAGGCCAGGCGAGGTGGCCAGGGCAGCAGAGGGCACACATACCTTTGTGGGACAAGGGGATCTCCAACAGGATCTCACTGCTGTCGGGGGAAGAGCTGATCCAGCTGCCCAGGCTGTCCTGAGCCGGGGCCTATGAGGTGGAGTGTTAGGAGGAGGAAACCCTTAAAAACAGCAGGGACCCCATGCCCCACTCAGCAGAGATAGCGGGGCCTCAGGCTGGTGCCGTTTAGGAAAGGCTCCATCCCAACTGCTGCTGTCCACCCCCGTGTCCCGCACCCACTGCAGCGGAGCTCGTGGGGCCATCAGGTACTGAGAGCTCACCTCCTGCATCACCAGGCTGCCGAGCTGGATGGGAGGTGGGGTGGGCACAGAGGAGCTTTTGGCCTGCCAGGCCCCAGTACCAGCCTTGAATACGTGGTGGCCTTCACTGAAGTTGGCAGAGGAAGATGAGTGGCTGTAGACCAGGCTGTCTCACCGAGGTCCCACCCCCACCCCCGGGGAGAAGCTGTCGGTGTGAAAGGAGAGAGAACCCAGGAGTCCTGGCTCCAGACCTGGGCCACCTGCTCCCTCTCATTGCTGCTCCATGTTCACCATTTAGCCTTAGTCTGGGTTGGCCTCTCTGGGACAGGGCACAGGGTGGGGGCTGGGGCAGGTGGCCCCCCTTCTCACCTCTCTGTGCTGAGGGGAGGGAGAGCACTGTTCTGCAGGCGCTGGGCATCAGAGCTCAGTGTCTTCACACTCTCCGGGTCAGAATCCGGGGTCAGCGAGGTTCCTGCTGGGGTAATTTTGGGCAAGTCCTGGGGAGGAGGGAGCCAGGAGGGACAGTTAGAAGATTTGGTCCTGGACCAAATCAGCACAGAGTCACAAAGGCTCACAGGGTGACAAGGGTTGTAAGATGGCCTGGGAGCCCCAGAAGGGCAGTGGGCTAGTGTTTGGGTCCTCGGGGGTAAGTTGTGGTCTGCTAGGCATCCCCAGTGGCACTGCCTGATGCTTGGTCTCCTGGAAGGGCACCTGGGGCCATTTGTGATATCTCAGATGGCCAGCCCTGACCCTCAGACCCTGGGTGGGAACAAGCGATGCCCAGGAGTGCTCAGGGATGAGGGTCTTACTCAGGCTCGACAAGGCTTTGGGTGGGGTAAGAAGGAAAGGGAGTCAACTCCCTGGGGTGCCAGCCAGCCTGGTGCTGTCCCCTCCAGCTGCCTGCAGGCATTGCCTTGGTCATCAGCCCCTCCCTGGACACATGTGCCCATGTTCAGGCCACCCAGGCGCCCACCCACCTGCAGGGCCCTGGAGGCCACTTGGTCCATGATGGTGGCCCGCTCCAGGCTGCCCTCCTCCAGTTCCCGCAGGTACACTTCGTACAGCTCTTCCAGGCGCTGCGGCACAGCCAGGTTGTAGTCTGCCGGGGAAGGGGCAGGGCTCAGCGAGTGCCAGCGGCCCCCCCGCGGGTGGCTCAGATGCGCGAGGGCGTGGGCCCTACCGTCGATGATCTGCCGCTGGCCCTGGATAATCTCGTCACAGAGACTGCGGTGCTGCTCCAGGCGGCGCACGGCCTCGTGGCGGTGGCGGAGCGCACCGTCGCGGAGCAGCGCGTGCGACTGCATCTCGGTGTTCTCCACCTCGAGCTCGTGCACGCGGCACAGCAGGCTGAGCACCTCGCGCTGCTCCTCAGAGCCGATGCGTCGGGGCAGGGTCTCCTCCAGGCGTCGGCCCCGCACGCGCAGCTCCCGGCAGCGCTGCTCCAGCGCCAGCTGCAGGAGGCGCAGGTCAGCACCTGGCAGCGGGGAGAGGGGTCCGATCCGCCTGCCCAGCCCGTCCTCGCCCCTCCAGCGCCTGGACTCCAGGCATCTGTCTGGAGCTCCAGGCTGAGGCCAACCCTGAAAGCTAAATCTTGGGCTTTACAATCAGGGACTGCTCTAAGGTGGCCCCTCAGTGTCCACTTTCTTGCCATCCTGACCTCAACCCACCCCTGGAACCAGCTTGGGGGATAGCTACTTAACCGCAGCCCATGTGACCCCCTCAGGGCTCATAACACCCTAAAGCCCCCCTGGTCTGGGTATGCCCCAGAACAGAAGGCAAAGATCTATTATTGGGAAAACCCTAATTATTATTATTTTTTTTCCTTTTTGAGACAGGGTCT